CAACAACAACAACAACAACAACAACAACAACAACAACAACAACAACAACAACAACAACAACAACAACAACAACAACAACAACAACAACAACAACAACAACAACAACAACAACAACAACAACAACAACAACAACAACAACAACAACAACAACAACAACAACAACAACAACAACAACAACAACAACAACAACAACAACAACAACAACAACAACAACAACAACAACAACAACAACAACAACAACAACAACAACAACAACAACAACAACAACAACAACAACAACAACAACAACAACAACAACAACAACAACAACAACAACAACAACAACAACAACAACAACAACAACAACAACAACAACAACAACAACAACAACAACAACAACAACAACAACAACAACAACAACAACAACAACAACAACAACAACAACAACAACAACAACAACAACAACAACAACAACAACAACAACAACAACAACAACAACAACAACAACAACAACAACAACAACAACAACAACAACAACAACAACAACAACAACAACAACAACAACAACAACAACAACAACAACAACAACAACAACAACAACAACAACAACAACAACAACAACAACAACAACAACAACAACAACAACAACAACAACAACAACAACAACAACAACAACAACAACAACAACAACAACAACAACAACAACAACAACAACAACAACAACAACAACAACAACAACAACAACAACAACAACAACAACAACAACAACAACAACAACAACAACAACAACAACAACAACAACAACAACAACAACAACAACAACAACAACAACAACAACAACAACAACAACAACAACAACAACAACAACAACAACAACAACAACAACAACAACAACAACAACAACAACAACAACAACAACAACAACAACAACAACAACAACAACAACAACAACAACAACAACAACAACAACAACAACAACAACAACAACAACAACAACAACAACAACAACAACAACAACAACAACAACAACAACAACAACAACAACAACAACAACAACAACAACAACAACAACAACAACAACAACAACAACAACAACAACAACAACAACAACAACAACAACAACAACAACAACAACAACAACAACAACAACAACAACAACAACAACAACAACAACAACAACAACAACAACAACAACAACAACAACAACAACAACAACAACAACAACAACAACAACAACAACAACAACAACAACAACAACAACAACAACAACAACAACAACAACAACAACAACAACAACAACAACAACAACAACAACAACAACAACAACAACAACAACAACAACAACAACAGGACCCGAAGCAGCCATCTTTACAACAGCACTGCATTACCTTTGGATAAAGAACTTTTGGCTGCTGCACGAATACAATTTTCTCGGCCACCCAAAGAAAGCGGACTAAATTTCATTAATTTCGAAAAAGGGGAAACTATTAACCCTTATCGAACTGAAAAACCAACTGAGCGAGAACACCCTTCTCTTCTGGACCCCATGCGTCCGCCAATAGTGAGACTTACTGAACAGTCCGTAACTGGCGACCAACGCTTCCTGAAGGCGCGTCTAAGGGACCCGAAAATTATGGACATTGTTCGGACCTACCTCTCCTTTCTGCATGACCAGCCATCATCAACATGTATTCGCGGAATCACCAAAACCATTGCTATTCTAATGCTAGCAGCTGAAGGACTACCAAAAGCCTGCACGAAATTTTCCTTGACGTCCAACATTTATTATGCTCATCCTTTTCGGTCATTCTGGCAACTGAAACAAGCTGGGACGAAAGCGTAAAAAGTGAAGAAATCTTTGGAAATGCCTTTAATGTATTCAGAGACGACAGAAATTTTCATGCAACACAGAAGAAGTCAGGTGGTAGAGTTCTTATAGCTCTTTCGGCCAATTTTAACTCAGAAATTATATTTACACCAAAATTTACAGAATTTGAGCATATTTGGGTGAAATCACACATAGCCGGTGAAACGCACGTGTTCGCCTCAGTGTATTTTCCACCAGACCATGCTCATAAAAGCACTTATGAAGCCTTCTTCCAAAGTGCTGAACAAATTCTATCTGACCTTCCTCCTGAGGTTAAAGTTCACATATATGGAGACTTTAATCAACGCACTGCTGACTTCATTCTGGACTCTGAAAATGAATGTATCTTACTCCCAGTCGTTGGGGATAATGAAACATTGCAGTTCATTTTTGACAAAACTAATTAAGGACTGAACCAAATTAACCACATCAAAAACCAACAAAATAGCTATTTGGACTTTTTACTAACGAATATTTATGAAGATTTTTGTGTGACCGAATCATTAAATCCACTGTGGAAAAATGAAGCGTTTCACACAGCAATCGAATATTCTTTATTTATGCATGAAAACCAAAGACCCAACGACTGCGAATACGAAGAAGTCTTTGAATACAAATTAGCAGACTACGAAAAAATAAAATTTAAATTAAACAGTGTCAATTGGCAATTAATTTTAAGGAATGTAGGAAATGTCGAAATTGGTATAGACGTGTTCTACAAAATTTTAACAGAAATAATTTCGGAAGAAATACCTTTGAAGAAAAAAAGACGTAACAGAAGCACACAAAATCCAGTCTGGTTTAACAGACAAATAAAAAACTTGAAAAATCGGAAGCAAAAAGCACATAAAATTTATAAAAAACACAATAGTAGTAATAATTTATTAATTTATTTGGATCTATGCGATCAACTGAATTTAGCTATCAGTACTGCATTTGAAGAATATAATGCAAAAACTGAACGTGAAATAAAGTCCTGTCCGAAGAACTTCTTTAATTACGTAAAAACGAAATTAAAATCTGACAATTTTCCTTCAATAATGCATCTAGACGAAAATGTCGGTGATAGTTCGGAAAAAAACTGTAATCTATTCGCAACATTTTTTCAAGAAATTTATACGACATTTTCTGAAGAAGATCGCGACCGCTATTATTTTGCATTTTTTCCAGTTTTTTCTAGGGACATTGGCCTCAATCAACTTCAAGTGCAGGATATTTTGCAGGCTTTAAAAATTTAGATGTCTCAAAAGGTCCTGGACCTGACGGAATTCCTCCTGTTTTTATTAAATGTCTAGCAATGGAACTCACTGCTCCATTGTTCTGGATTTTTAATATGTCCCTGGAATCTGGAACCTTCCCAAAAACTTGGAAAAGCTCATTCCTAGTGCCTATCTTTAAATCTGGCCGAAAATCTGACGTACGTAATTATCGTGGTATAGCCATTATCTCTTGCATTCCTAAACTTTTCGAGGCAATTGTCAACGAAAAATTATTTCTCCAAATCAAAAATAGAATTACTGACATGCAACACGGCTTCTTCAAGGGTCGCTCGACCTCGACAAATTTACTTGAATTTATAGACTATTCATTGAATGCAATGGATAATGGAAACCACGTAGAAGCTCTCTATACAGACTTTAGCAAGGCATTTGACCGCATAGACATACCAATGCTACTTTTTAAATTGCAAAAAATTGCAATTGAGTCAGGGCTCCTAAAATGGCTTGAATCATATTTAACTAACCGCCAACAAATAATTCAATTCAACGGAAAGAAATCGAGTCCAATTCAAGTCACTTCAGGCGTCCCCCAAGGCTCTCATTTGGGACCTCTTCTTTTTATTCTATACGTAAACGACATTTCTTTCATTCTCAAAAAACTTAAATGTCTTATTTATGCCGACGACATGAAGCTCTTTTTAGAAATAAGAAATGAAGAAGACATCAATATATTCCGGAATGAAATACACATATTCTACATATGGTGCAAAAAAAGTCTACTAGAATTGAATGTAAAAAAAATGTAACTTAATATCATTTAGCAGGAAAAGAACAACTTCAAATATTTCAATTGCACTAGGAAATCAAAATGTAGAAAAATGTGAAAGAGTTAGGGATTTAGGAATAATCTTAGACTCTAAACTAACTTTCATAGACCATTACAATACAATTATTCACAGGGCAAATAACATGCTAGGCTTTATCAAGCGCTTTTGCTATAACTTTCAGGACCCATACACAATTAAAACACTATATATCGCCTATGTGAGGTCAATACTGGAATATTGCAGCATTGTATGGTCTCCTTTTTCAATCACGCACGAAGAAAGATTAGAATCCGTACAAAAACAATTTTTATTATACGCTCTTCGTAAATTAGGTTGGACATCATTTCCTCTTCCATCATATGAAGCACGCTGCATGCTTATAAACATACAAACATTAAAAGAGCGTCGTGAATATGCAATGGTTTCATTTGTAAACGATATCGTTTCGCAACGCATTGACTCCACAGAACTTTTATCAAAATTAAATTTCCATGCACCTACTCGGCAACTCCGAAATCGAAATTTATTTGCCATAAAACATCATCGTACAAATTATGCAAAATATGGGCCATTAAACCGCATGATGGCCTCTTACAATTAATACTGCGAAACCATTGACTTTACAATGTCTCGGCATAAACTAAAACAATATTTTTACTCCATAAGGCATTATAACTCATAAAAAATAGGAAAGCTGACACTGCTTAATTTTTATTAAAGAAAAAATTATTCTTTTAACCTTTTGTCCAAAGTTGACAAAATAAATAAATAAATTTAAGAAAACAAAACTGTATTCTTATATGTACTAGTCTTCGTTGGTTGTTGAAATAAAAAAAAAAAAAAAAAAAAAAAAAAAAAAAAAAAAAAAAAAAAAAAAAAACGATTGTTTCTAAGTGTGTATGACATTAAAATAATGACATAAACCAGGGATTAAATACAGCCCACTGATCAACTCGACCTCGTTGTACAATGAGGAGTCAAAGGTGGCAGGTCGAAAAACTAGATTTCTCTTCTCAATCTTGGACGATTTTTTTCATAGAATATTAACGACCAGGAAATTACAAAACAATTAAAATTAAAAAAAAAAAACTGTCCATTAAAACTTACCGTCATGTTTAATTGATCGATTTCGCTGAGAACCCAACCGACGGATCCATCGCCGGAGCAGATCAGTATCCGAAAGGGGTCAAAATGGCGGAACAACCGCAGGCCAAGGCCCGGGCCGGTTGATATGAGATCGAACACCTGTGCCGGGTTCAGCAGCTGTTTGAAACGTCGAAGAAACTTGACGCCTTGATTGTCTCCGGATTTGGAATTTACAAACACCAACAGCGGTGAGAAGCTACCGTGCGGTTTGCACACGTCCCATGCGTCGTCGATTCCGATTGAGTGCAGCGAAATTGGCGGTACGACCGATACCCGGGCCGGCCCCAACGGACAGGCCACCTGTGCCTGAGGTCGGCAGGCAGTGTGTACCGTGGAGCGACACCAGAGGCAGCGCCAGTCCTGAAGACGCATCACCGAGCCGCACGTTTTGTCACACACGATGCATTTGGCCGACACCGGTAGGTTACCTTCCATCCATTGATGTGGCATCACTATGTTCTGAGGAAAGGAAACAAGTTTGAGTTAACAGTCGAAAGCGAAGCAAAGTCAACTCCTTACCCCGTCTATATCCTCGATGATATCCTTCCCAACCGAAGCCAGGGTGGTCCACTTGCAGTTGGATATTGCCTTGGCGGCGCATCGCTTGTGCACCTTGCACTTGCACACCTCGCACGACAGCCCATGCGAGGTGACTCCAGACAAAGCCTCCCGGCAAACATTGCAGTACGTTGGTCGAGCGTGCGACGTTGCATACCTGAGAATATTAAGAAAACATTCGAATCTAAGGTGGACGATTTTTCCGCTCAAATTTACCAATTGTGATGTCCCGAGAGGAAGTCATGCTGATCGGGTGGTCCCGGTTCGAAAAACTCCCGCGACGAGGCGGCCTTCAGCGCATGCAGCCAGTCTTCCATTTCACGACGATTTTCGGCACACAGCACCAGAGAGCGAGTTGGAGTGATTAACTGTGGGAAAATTAAGAAAAGAAGGTTCGCGACTTTAGTTATTGTTGAAACATGAGTTACACCCGTTTATTTTTGTTAACACTAGTTAAGCTCAAACATTCAGAACCGGTTCTGGCAAGTCACCTACATGGATTATTCTTTGCAAACATAACCTTAATGTTGTCTCATCTTCATGGAGGAGCAGAAAGAGCAGTGACACTTGCGGTGAGGTTGCTTCCTGTCCTGGTAGCAGGAAATGTGATCCATGATATGCCAAGCAGGTCATTACTCACCGGGAGAACCCCCGCCCGCACCCTATAATTTGTGTATGGCTTACAGCTACGATAGGAGGACCAGCAAGAGCGCTTATCTCAAGCTTGAGAGATTTTCAATTTTCAGCACGACTTCACGTAGCATTAGCACTCGTCAGATTGATTCACCGTGACTGTGACGCAGTAGGATGGTGGATGGGTGGTTGCTTACGCTTTCTGGCTGTTCAGCGGATGGATAAACTTTGATAACTTACTGTCTGCTCTTCAGTTAGATGGTAGGTACTAAGAATCTAAGAAGACGCATTCGACACGCTACGTCAGTACAAATTAATTTGTTATCTTCTGCCACGTTGGCAGACTGGTAGAAAGAGATGAATGACTATCGTTTGTCACTTAAGCACCGGATATCGCTAATTCTAAAGTTCTTGAGTCTTTATTTATAGCGAAATGTATGAATATTCATGGCTGTTCTGTTCCACAAAATGTTACCGAAAGTTTGATTGGATACTCGGAAGAAGGGTCCCAAACTCCCTACCATAAATTCCAAATTTGAAAACATCGGAAGTTCTGTACACATTTTGATTCCGGCAGACATTTTGAAGGCATTTCAGGTGATGTAAAGCTGTTGCAATATATGTTGAAATTGAAGAACACTTCCAATGGTTTTTTGAGACCAGCAGACTTGTGAAGGGGAAGCATAATTGTACCTACTAATAAATTGGTCAAACAAAAATTAAAACTGCTCGTTAAAAACACCCAAATGATGCATAAACTCCAGTGAAAGTCCCTTAAATAGTGTAAATGATCCATAAACAATTTCAATATGATAAATATTTGATGTAAAATTTGGCAATATAATATATCAAATGTACCGCTCGATTTCTTAAGAATGAGCATTTAAATTGTACGAATTACAAATAAACATATTGCAAATGATCGATAAAATGTTCAACAATTAACTTCAAACCAACGAAATTGATCCATAGGAAATCAAAATCGCGCACTATTAAACTTAGGTAAGATTCATAAATAAGATATATACTTTCATGTTTTCGGAACTTATGTTTAATTTTTGATAATTTAAATAATTGTACCATTATTGCAAAGCTACACATATTTACTGCTTGTGTTTTAACATAGACTACGTCTAACGAGAAGGTACAGGGGGTGAATCAAAAATCTAAAATTGTTACCGTCACGAAAAGGTGATAACCTATTTGTATATAGTAGATTAGGTGTATATAGTAGTTGTAGGTTAGTTGTAGTTGTAAATAGTAGTTATACAGCCATTCCATAGTAAAACGATATAGTGTTTCTCAGAACTTCGTAGCAATTGGCAGTTTTGTTCCTTATCGAAAGTATTAGACCCGTATTTTTTTATTTTCTCATTAGGGTGACCGTTTTCCTGTTAAGGTAGTCCAAAAAATCGATTTTTTTCTATTTCTTCCAAAAATGGCATTTTTTTAACTTTTGAATTATTGATCCGATTTGAATGATCAAAATAACCTTTCAAAAATACGGCAGCCCTAAGTTTGCACCTTTAGAATTGATAAAACGATCCATAAAATATTGAAAAACGTTCCATTAAAAACATTCAAATGATCCATAAAACATCGGAGAAAATCCCTAAAAAAGTGTGGATGATCTATAAAAAATATCAATACACTGGAACCTCCATTTACGAACCAAAACGGGGGTTCGTAAATCGAATTAGTTCGTAAAAAAAAACCTCGTTATTTGGGATTTACTTCGTAAAAAGAAAACTCGTTATTTGGGATTTACTTCGTAAAAAGAAAACTCGTTATTTGGGATTTACTTCGTAAAAAGAGGTTTTAGAAAATATTGTCAAATACCCCACAATATGGGTATTTTTGGAATCGGAGTGACGTGTAGGGACCGGAAATCGATGTCTGACGCCATTTTGAAATCCAAGATGGCGGCTTCCGGTTACAGAAAAACTTGGAAATTCTGCCAAATACTCCACAATATGGGTATTTTTGGAATCGGAGTGACGTGTAGGGACCGGATATCGATGTCTGACGCCATTTTGAAATCCAAGATGGCGACTTCCGATTACAGAAAAACTTGGAAATTCTGCCAAATACTCCACAATATGGGTATTTTTGGAATCGGAGTGACGTTTAGGGACCGAAAATCGATGTCTGACGCCATTTTAAAATCCAAGATGGCGGCTTCCGGTTACAGAAAAACTTGGAAATTCTGCCAAATACTCCACAATATGGGTATTTTTGGAATCGGAGTGACGTGTAGGGACCGGATATCGATGTCTGACGCCATTTTGAAATCCAAGATGGCGACTTCCGGTTACAGAAAAACTTGGAAATTCTACCAAATACCCCACAATATGGGTATTTTTGGAATCAGGGTGATGTGCAGGGACCAGAAATCAATATCTGACGCCATTTTGAAATCCAAGATGGTGGCTTTGGGTTACATAAAAACTTGGGAATTCTGTCAAATAGCCCACAATATGTGTATTTTTGGAATCGGAGTGACGTGTAGGGACCGGATATCGATGTCTGACGCAATTTTTAATCCAAGATGACGGCTTCCGGTTACAAGAAAACAGAAAAATACCGTTAAATACACAACAAAATGTATATTTTTAGAATCGGAGTAACCTGTGAGAACCGAGAATCCATGTCTGACGCCATTTAGAAATCCAAGATGGTGACATCCGGTTACAGAAACACTGGGAAATACTGTCAAATACCCCACAATATGGGTTTTTTGGAATCGGAGTGACTTATTAGGACTGAAAACCCATGTATGACGCCATTTTGAAATTCAATATGGTGACTTCCGGTTACACAAAAATCGTGTTAAATAACCTACAATACGGGTATCTTAAGAATCGGGGTGACGTGGTGGTATTTGCCCATTTTTCTATAACCGGATTGTTCTTGGATTTCGAAATGACGTCAGACATAAATTTCCGGTTCTTACACGTCACTTCAATTCCAAAAATACACATATTGTGGGGTATATGACAGACTTTCCAAGTTTTTCTGTAACTGGAAGCCACCATCTTGGATTTTAAAATGGCGTCAGACATCGATTTTCGGTCCCTACACGTTACTCCGATTCCAAAATACCCATATTGTGGGGTATTTGATAGAATTTCGAAGTCTTTTTGCTAGCGGAAGCCACCATCTTGGATTTCAAAATGGCGTCAAACATCGATTTCTGGTCCCTACACGTCACCCTGATTCCAAAATACCCATATTGTGGGGTATATGACAGAATTTCCAAGTTTTTCTGTAACCGGAAGTCGCCATCTTGGATTTCAAAATGGCGTCAGATATCGATTTCCGGTCCCTACACGTCACCCTGATTCCAAAATACCCATATTGTGGGGTATATGACAGAATTTCCAAGTTTTTCTGTAACCGGAAGTCGCCATCTTGGATTTCAAAATGGGGTCAGACATCGATTTCTGGTCCCTGCACATCACCCTGATTCCAAAAATACCCATATTGTGGTGTATATGATAGAATTTCCAAGTTTTTCTGTAACCGGAAGCCGCCATCTTGGATTTCAAAATGGAGTCAGACATAGATTTCTGGTCCCTGCACATCACCCTGATTCCAAAAATATCCATATTGTGGAGTATTTGGCAGAATTTCCATGTTTTTATGCAACCGGAAGTCGCCATCTTGGATTTCAAAATGGCGTCAGACATTGATTTCCGTTCCTTATACGTCACTCCGATTCCAAAAATACACATATTGTGGGCTATTTGACAGAATTTCGAAGTTTTTTCTGTAAAAGGAAATCGCCAACTTGAATTTCAAAATGGCGTCAGATATCGATTTCCGTTTCCTATACGTCACTCCGATTCCAAAAATACCCATATTGTGAGATATTTTAAAGAATTTCGAAGTTTTTCTGAAACCGGAAGTCGCCATCTTGGATTTCAAAATGGGGTCAGACATCGATTTTCGGTCCCTTCACGTCACTCCGATTCCAAAAATACCCATTTTGTGTTGTATATGGCAGAATGTCCAAGTTTTTCTGTAACCGGAAGCTGCCATCTTGGATTTCAAGATGACGTCAAACATAGAATTCCAGTTCCTACACGTCACCCTGATTCCAAATATACCCATATTGTGGGGTATTGAAAGTATCTTTCAGTTTTTCATGAACCGGATGCCGCCATCTTGGATATCCAAATGGCGTCAGACATGAATTTCCGGTTCCTACATCTCACTCCGATTCCAAAGATACCCATAATGTGGGATATTTCATAGTTTTTCCCAGATTCCCATAATCGCAAAAAAAAACTCGTTATTTGGAATTTACTTCGTAAAAAGAAAACTCGTTATTTGGAATTTACTTCGTAAAAAAAAACCTCGTTATTTGGGATTTACTTCGTAAAACGAAACCTCGTTATTTGGAATTTACTTCGTAAAAAGAGGGACGTAAATTGAATACTGCGTAAAAAAAGACTTCGTAAACGGAGGTTTCAGTGTATTATCAATATTTTATGTGAAATTTAGCAACATAATTGTAAAAATGTACCACTAAATTTCTAAATAATGAGCATTGGAATTGTACGAATTACCCATAAACATGTTGCAATTGATCCATAAAACGTTCAGCAATGAACCTTAAACTAAAGAAAGTGATCCATAAAAAATCAAGTTTGCACACTTAAAAATATAGGCATGATTAGTATGTTATTCATGTTTAGGACACTATTTTTTTTTAATTTTGATCCATAAACCT